TCCCAGCAGCCCTTGGCTTTCACAGGTTCTTACAGAGCTGCCTCAGCTCCTCATTCCGTGGCTGCAGCCTGTCCCTTGTCCCCATACGGGCAGTGCTCTCCAGGGTGCTGTCTGCAGTTTCCTCGTCTCCACCCTCAATGCTCCCCATTTCTTCCCAGTCTGACTTCCATACCCAACATGTGTTCCTGCAGAAATGCCAGAGAACCCCTTGGTCCTGGGAAGTCCTGCCCCAGGGGAGCTCTGGGCCTGCAGGTCTCAACTCCCTGGAGCAACATATACACAGAGTATATTTCTTCACCCTGCCCTCCTCATGCCCTGCTCTGTCCTCACTTCCTTCCCTTCCTGGCCTCTGCTCTTACCCTCCCCAGCTCTCTCAGTTACAGTGACCTGTGATGGCTCTGTGGAGCTGCTGGAAAGTTCCCTGCAGAACAGTTGGGGCCTGCTTCCCAGTGAGGGAGTGGTGAGGGGCAGGTCGGCCAGGTCTGTTGGTGTCTCCTGAGCGTTTTCATCTCTGGCTTCTGCTCACAGGGTGCCATTGGGGAAGGTTGGCGGTGGCCAGCTGAGGCTCCCTGCTTACTTTGTAGCCAGACCAGGCCTTGGTGGTGGTGACTTCAGGAGGGTGGCTCTGTCAGAACTCATCATTGCACTGACTAAACAGATGTAGTTTTGTAACTTAATGCTTCAATAAAGCTGATAAAGGCAGTTGTCCCTAAGGCGGTTTACTACAACTTTGGAAGTCCCAAAGGCGGAAGTCTGGAAGGAACCCAGTGGCTCTTGAGTGGTGCATGGATGGTGCTGTGGATGGCTAGGTGAGCCAGCATTGCTTGGCAGCTTCTGATCTGCAGCGTGGATGCACCTCCACCTTCTGTTACTACTACTCCAGGTCACAGGAAATAGATGCAAATGTCAGGGTCTGCAACTCCATTCACCAACAGGTGGCAAGTGAGCCGTTACCATGGCCAAGGGTAGAGATGGGAGGAGGGAATTTAGGGGATCAGTGCAACCTGTTCTTTGGGAAGTGAAATTGATAGAGTGCAGGCCAGAGTAAGAAGACAAGGCACAAGGACCTATCAGATGAAAAGGGAGACTGCTGCCCCTACTTTGGATGGCAAGCATTGCACCAGGACGCCGCACAGTCTACGGCAATGAAACTGCATGTAGAAGCGAAACACATACATTCCTAGCAGGAAGCCTGAAAACTGTGACACGGACAAAACCAAGGAAGCTGCTCCTAAGTTTGTGACCCCCACCAGGTACTGGTACATCCTTCCCAGCCATGAGCAACAGTAATCGTGAAGTTGAAGACAAATCTTCCAGAGGATAGAAATGAGTTCACACTTGGCACATTCGTGTTCCCATGCCAGTGTGACCTTGACAATGACAAGAGCAGGACCAGTGTCGTAAATAATAAGCACAGAGATTGCTAAAGGAAACATGGGATTGCGTGAGTCAGCACATGGGCAGTGTGCCAACCAAACTTGGTTACTTTCAAGCTCCAACTTTGGCTTAAGAGTAAAAGGAAATTAAAGTTAGGCACCACCTTTACAGAAAAGAGTTCTGTACGTGTTATTGGATTCCAGAAATGCAGGTGGTGAAAAATCATTGCCGTTGTTGGGGACGAGGCAAAGCAAATGGGATCACAGGGACCATTTAGTCTGAGAACATCAATAAAGCTGGTGCAGAACACAGCCCCCACCTCAAAGGGAATGGCAGGGAATACATTCTGAGGCAAACACAAATACCCAGGAATCTGGATTTAACATGTTCCCAAGTGGAGACAATCACATGAACTTCCATAGTCACAGAACAAAAGCCATACATCAACGCACTTACTGATAGACTGGTGGAAACGTGTGGACGGGCTGTAGCAAAGCTGGAAGATCTTAGCTACAGGTCTGGTGCTGTCTGATGACATTCTTAGCATCAGGGTGTGTGGAGCTAGTGATTTATTTACTTATTTATTAATACATTCCAAATGCTTTTACCTGGTTATCACAGGGATGTTAGATTCGACAGGTGGGGCAATGAATGGTTATAACAGGACTAAAGGCAGCCTAAGAATTTGGCCATGGGTCTACAACATTCCAACTCATTCACAATCATTGGGCTGGTCAGTCACTCAGCCTTGCACACTTCAATGTAGGTATGACTTTCTTCTTGGGATTTCAGTTCACTGTCAACATGTGTCATATTAATGACAATGGAAAGATGAGTTTCTGTGATGAGTCACATTTACCCTGATCCAGTACCTGCCTGGAGTGTGGAGGCAGAAAGGGAGAGGAGAGCCATGGGTTATAGAAAACATAAAACAGTCACCGTTGTCAGTGATTGCAATGTTTGTGTAGAAAAATGCAAAAGTATCTACATTAGAATTAGTAGTACTAGATACAAAATCTATATGGAAATTGATTTTCTGTAAGCAGGAACAAACAGAGTATTAAATTTTGTCAACAAAATTGGGAATAAATAAAATGAAAACTATGCGGCCTGGATGTAGGAATCCACAAAAATGTTGAAAGAAATTAGAGATCTAATGGATCTGGACAGTGGTTAGGAGCACTGGTTGCTCTTACAGAGGATCTGGGTTTAGTTCCTAGCACCCACATGACCTCCACACACCAGACAGGCACTGGGACAGGGTAAATGTGACCCTCTTTATTTCTCCTCATCGTAGAAACTCATCTTTCTGTTGTCATTAATGCAATGTCAGTGAACTGAAGTCCCCAGAAGAAAGCCACACCGATGTTAAAGAGCCTGCAAGAATGAGTGACAAAGAACAGTGATTGTGAAGAATTGGAATGTTGCAGACAGACCCCACCGTCCATAACTCCAGTTCCAGGGTATCTGATGCCCTCTTCTGGCCTCTGCAGGCATTTTGTGTGTAGTACACTTACATACATGCAAGCAAAACACACATACACACAAAAAAAATAGAGGTCAAGTGAATGGCTCTATTAATCACTTAGCAACTCAACATTGTGGATGCTATGCTGAAAAATAAAACCCTGTATTTTCTATCCCTTTTCTAAACCTTGAAGAAAAAGTTATGTGATTTTTGTGGGAATGAAAAATGTCAAGAATGGGTTAAGAACCTTGTAAAGATGAACACAGTGGGAAAACTGGTTAGCGCTGGTGTAGCGGAGTCCCCAGCAAATGGACATACAGCTGGGAACCACACATACCCAAGTTCTGCACAATGACTCAGGGTGCCCTGGAGTACAGGTGACAGGTCTGTGGACCTGACCCTCCCACCCTGCTGATGGCACTGTGGGCTGGGAATGCGTACACATATACCTTCCTACTGAACAAACCAGGTTCGAGGAGTGAAACCTGAACTTGGGCTCCCACCCTGCTGAGCCAAGCTGCTCCTGCAGCTCCAGTTCAGCTCTGCACCCCCCGCCCCCATGGCAGGGCTATGCCCTTGGTGAATTTGAGAAGCTATAAGGGGAGTCCTGACATCCAGCCTTGATTTCTCAGCCCTCTTCCTCGTGCAAGACAGCCAGTTCCTCTGCATCTGACTTCACTTACATATGGAATGACAGCCAATCACCAGCTTCACCCCAGGGAGCCACAGCTACCCAGTTAATTAATTTCCTTCATATTTTGCAGCCGCCAGTTTTTAATTTTGTAAAGTTGTCATACCCACAAGAGTTATCACTTAGGTACATCCTCTTGATTATTAAATACCAGCCACTTTTGTTTACAAATAAAACCAAGTTAATTAAGTTAGTGAGATTAAAACAGCATCAGAGCAGTAGGCAGAGTGATCATTAATTAGCATCCAGCAGTGTGTTGAAGAGCAGAGCCCTTGCAGGGCAGGTTTCCCCATCAGAGCTGAGGACCAGGTCCAGCAGCTTGCTCCCGGCATCTTACCCTCCAATTGGGGAAATTCCAGCAACACCTGGAAAGACACTACCAGCTGGCACTTCCCAGCAGGGAGGCAAGAGGAAGGCAACTCCTTCCAATGAAACCTTTGACCAGAGGCAAGTAGACAGTGAGGACCCTACCCAGGGAAGTGGGCACAGCACGCACAGGCCCTGACACAGGTCCTGGGGAGGCCTGTCCTGTCTCCTTCCATGAGAGGGTCCCTTTATTTTTCTCATGGTTGTACTCCAATAGTGTCTGCCAAAATAGGCTCTCCCAGAGAGAATCATGAACTACAGGAAGCTCACGTAAGATCCAGAAGTCTGATCTCACAGCCAAGGTCAAGAGTCTGTGGTGGCAGCCCATGGGGAAGAAGGGACTTGGACCCAGGGCTTCAGAACAGCACCTTGTACCAGGTACCCTTCCCAGCCCATCAGTGTGCTTTCTGTATACATCCACTCAGTGGAATAAAGTGCTGTGACACCCGAGTGACCTCACGGTTCCTTGTGATGTCACAACTGGTGGGGACTGGTCTGCTTCTGTTCACACCCCCACTGGCCGTGAGCAGCAGACAGGAGGAAGAGGTGGCCAGTTCCAAAACATTGTTCCCACTTAGAGGATAATAAAAGGACAGGGCAGAGAGGACTCAGCCCAGGACATGTTGGACAGGTGGGTGGCCATACCCTCCCACCTTGGGAGCAGGAAGAACCCTCAAGGCTTGACCTGTTCATTCCCTAGTACCATACAACACATCCAGTGGATGGCCAGAGGGTCACCCTGGACTGAGGAGTCCTGGCACATCTGCAGGTATGGATGCTCTGGGCCCCTGTGCTGAGGTGTCCCATCTTCTAGGTGTGGAAGCCTTGGGCCCCTTTGTTGAGATGTCCTGTCCTCTAAGTGTGGAAACCCTGGGCCCCTATGTTGAGATGGGCCCCCTGTGATGAGGTGTCCTGTCTTCTAGGTATAGATGCTCTGGACCCTGTATGCTGAGCTGTCTCATCTTCCAGGTGTGAACCCTCTGGGCCCTTGGTCCTAACGGGCCTGGTCTTCAGGTGTGTACACCCTGGGGCCCTCCCATGCTGAGGTGTCCTGTCTTCCAGGCATGTTTGACCACTGCATCTGTGTCAGCTGTTACTATGAGATATGCTCCAGAAATCAAGAAGTCCCCACCACACCTCCTGAAGAAACTTGCAGGTAACGTGGAAGAAGCTGTTGGGCTGTTTGTAACCTGAGTTGACCTTCCAAGTTACCCAGCTAATCTGGGCAAGGGAGGCGGGAAATGTGTGTTTTCAAAATAACCATAAAATCTCCATAGTCTTCAATTTCATCACAGAACACCTTTACCTGGGATTCTTGCACAAGCTTTAAGAAGCAATAAGAAGTTAAAGGGTCAAAGGCATTTCCTGTCAGGTGCTAAATACATTGTTCACACTGTTCAGCTACTTCATAATTCCTGTCTTACAAGTGGATCTTATTTATTTATTTATTTTTTAGAAGGTCTCACCTTGTAGACCAGGCTGGCCTGGAACTCAGAAATCTACCTGCCTCTGCCTCTCAAGTGCTGGGATTAAATACATATAACCACATGGCATTATTATCATTATTATTAAAAATATTTTTCAGCAAGGAAGCATACCTTCTCTCCCCAGTGAGCCTGTGAGCTGATGTCAGACATTTGACCCTGGGTGTTGAAGCCATGCCAAAATGTGATTTTCTTAAAGGTACACTAAGTATACAATTGCATTTACTTTGAATCAGACAAGGGAAGTATCTAGAAGTGCATGTCTGTCAGGAGAAGCATCAGACCACTGGAGAAATTTGTCTCTTCTGCCCAGACCCAGGGATTAGAAACTTCTTTCTCAATTGAACTTGCATTCATGCATTACAAATGAAATAAAAGGAAAGAAGAAGTTTGTTCATCTTTTGTCTTCTTTAGAGGGCAGGTGGAGAGCTTTTCTCTGAGGTTCCCTGAGTGGAAAGCCAACTCCTACCCAGGGCTGAGCTAGCTCCATAGGCTTAGGGTGTGAAGGAAGCCTGGACATGTGCTTCTCCATCATACTGGGAACCTCCAGGGGTAGAAGACCCTCAGGAGGGCCGTTTGTGGTTTCTGATCAAGAGCACACGAGATAAGGTGATATAGTACTGGGGCCACAGAAAGAGCATCAGAAATGGCCAGGCCAACATTGTGTGCTTGGCATGAAGTGAGTGGCCCTCCATTCTCCTGAAAGGAGAGCTGGTAGTCAGAACAAAGGGAGAGAGGATTCTGTCCTTGAGGTCCTCCTGCACAGTCCCTCTTGGTCTCTACTTAGAGCTATGAGGTCCAGGGAGCTATTTAGGTGGCCTGGGGGCCAGTGTCCCTCTAGCTATGCAAGGGCCTCCTGGAAGCTGTTGGGTACTATCCCTGGATTAGTAAGATCAGAGCTGAGACACCTGTGCTCCAGGTGTGTGGGACAAGGTGAGGCATCTTAGGGGTACAGGTTAAGCCTGGGCACAGTCCAGCTGCATTGTGGGGGCAAGAGGCCATGTCAAGGATGTGCTCTGCTCAGCTGCATCCTGAGGCAGGATGTGGTTCTGACTTGATGCCCTGCTTTCCTGATGGCCTATTTTGCCTGTCTGCTGGTATTCCAGCTTGGACTATGGTACAGGAATAGAGCAACACTCTAGTATTCCTTCTAGATAGTGGTGGGGCTGTCTCAAAGCCTACTGAGAAACTGTAAAGAGCTGAAATGAGGGACTGGAGAGATGGCTCAGCAGTTAAGAGCACTTGCTGCTCTTGCAGAAGTCCCAAATTTGAATCCCAGCATCCACATGTCAGCTGACAACTGTCTGTAACTCCAATTTCAGGGGATTCAATGACCTTTTCTGTCCTTTACAGGCATTGAACAACATGGGTGCACTTACTTACATGCAGGCAATACATGCATACACATAAAACAAAAATAATAAATTTTTTAAAAGTACATAAAAAAATGAGGCAGCCTGAGAGGGACTGGGCATCTATAGATGCCAAACAACTCCCAGGCCGGGGGTGCACAGTCCAGCCAGCTCCGTACCACCCTGTCACAGGTAAGCTATGTCATAAACATAGCTGAGCACGTTTGTATCTTTCCACCATGTCATATTTATTGGATAATAATAAACACATAAGATATGGTAGGTGGTTTCAGTGACAGCAATTTACCAGATACCTCACTAAACTTGGTAAACTGATCAAGGTGAATATAGATACCTTTATTCTAGTTTTTGATTATTAATATTAACTCTCATACCACACAGTAAATATATCTCTCTATGTATGTATATATGCGGATTGCAGAATGGATGCTAAGGGTTAGTGAGAAGCTGCAGAGTTTCTAGATGTTTCAGAAGTGGGCTAATGGAAACATAAATGGAGCCTGCATTGATAAGATAACAAGCCAGCTGCAAGGAAGAAGCTGTTGCTATGAGTCTGACCCTGGGGGTCACAGGTTTGAGATCAGAGCTGCAGCTTTGAGTCTGACTGAAGAGGCTAAAGGGCAGGACCAGGTCCCTGTGAGAGAACGGGCAGATGGTAACAGCATATTCAGCTGTGAAACAGGTAGACCAGCAGACAGCAATTGAGTAGACCACATCGGCAGACACATTAGATGGGCACAAAAACTGGAGGAAGCCCCAGGGACAGTTAGGCATTCTCTGCCTGTCAGTCCTTGGCTCGCATACAGGATGGCCAGATGACAGGTTGGTAGGGCCACTGCCGTTGCTGTACAAGGTGTGTCTACCTCTTTATGGGGTCCAGGTGAGGCAATCAGTCTTTCCTCAGTTTGGTGTGTCCAGTAAATTCTTGGGCCTAGTTTTCTTGATATGATTTTAATGTGCCCATGTGTCCCTACAGTCTCAGGTCACCCCAATAAATGTTTGGAATGGCCCCTTTTCTAATCCTATGAATAAGTCATTTACCGGTCTGTGCTGCATGGGTGGTGCAGGACAGATGGTGTGGTTCGTGTCTCCATCTAGGTGCATAGAGTTGTCTCCCAGCCTCAAAATAGAGTCTCTCAAGGGAAGGTAGTCTTAAAAAAATCACTCTTTTCCTTAATATTGAGTAACTTAGAGCAGAGCACAGCTTGACTTCAAAACACCTTCACCTCTGAGCACCTTCCTGCCTTTGTTCCACCCTGCTGGTTGTGAGCCCCTCCTCTTCCCCGTGTGCACAGACTTACTCATCCTCAGGTGGAAGACAGCCCAAAGCCACCCTCTCAGCCATCCCAGGGCATTGGTGACCTTGTGATCAATGACCTCACTCTAGGCTCTCTGCATGCTTGGTGGCGGGTCCTATCCTACTCCACAAAGTGCAGCAGGCACTCTGTGCCGGGATGTCCAAAGCAAGGAAGAATGAGAGAATAGAGGTGAAGCTTCCCTGGGAGAGGCCAGGGAGAGGCTGTCTTCAGAGCCTCCATTCACACAGGGAAGAAATGGGCTGTCCAGTCCTGCCCAGAGGCAAGACAGACATAACATCCTCTCTCAGACTTGGCCTTTGTTTGCCTGTTATGTCTAACCTGCGTATTGCCTGGAAGTTGATCTGCATAACGAAATTAATGCTGCTTCCTTCAGTGTTGCCATGACAATGAAATTGTTTCTCCAAATGCAAAGTGCTGTCTGCACTGTCTGTGTTCCTTCCTGGAGGCCTGTGGGGATTACAATGAACTCTCTGACACCCTTGCCTCCAGAGTGATTGAGCACAGGGCTACAGGGTCCACTTACAACACATGATGGTTCCTTGTCTCCAGTCTCCTGAAAGTCCAGCTAGGACATGTAGTTCAGCTCTGGGCCCTCGGGGCCCTCCACACTCTATCCACACAGCCTGAAGGAGGGTATGTGATGTGGGGTGGGGAGGGGTGAATTGTCCCTCTGCCATCTCTTGGGCCAAGCTGTTGTACAGGAAGTGGATCCTGGTACTGTGTCTGTGACTCCTGACCACGGCTAATAGCATTTGTGTGTGTGTGTGTGTGTGTGTGTGTGTGTGTATTGTATGTGTGTGTGTGTTCCTGTGTGAACATGTGTGCACATGTGTGGAGGCCAGAGGTTGTTGCAAGGTGCCTTCCTCAATCACTTTCCACTTTGTGTTTTGAGGCAGGGTGTCTCACTGGGTCTGGATCTATTCATTCAGCTAGACTGGCTGGCCAGCAATCCAAGGCATTCTCCTGCCTTCACCTCCCCAACTGCTGGGATTACAGGCACATGCGGCTGTGCTCACTTTTTGTGTGAGAACTCAGGTCCTCAAGGTTACCTGGCAAGCACCTTGCCACTTGAGACATCGCCCCAGGCCCTCTGGGAGATTATTTGCAACCTTGGACTCAGGGTGTCTTGGGAAAGGAAGAAGAGGAGATTAGGAGCAGTGGGTTCTGCTGGAAATCCTTAAGTCCGAAAGACAAATCACCCCAAAGTAATACAAACGTTGTTCAATGCCATCAAGATGGGGTGGCTCTCCTGTCATCCCTCATGACAGTTTGCAAAGAGGATGATGACGATCCTGTGGCTGAGTGCCTACCTGCCTGGGCATACAATTTGGCCATGTGGAAGCATAACTGATGGTAGGGGCTTGGTTTGTTCCTCTAGCCTTAGGATAGATGGTATCCCACTGCCTCTGGCCTGTACAGAGTCCCCTGTGTGACTTGTTTACTACCCAGTTGAGTCAATCAGCTGCCACCACTACTAAGTTGCCGCATCCCCTACTAGCCAAAACCAGTTTATAATAGAATAGTTTTTCCTATTTCTCTCCTTTAATCTCTCGAGTTGTACAAGGTCACTCTCCTTTATGGGCATGTGTCTGTGGGGGGGGTGTCAAAATGCTCATTCAATTTTGGTTCTTTGTTTAAAAAAAGATTTTATTTTAAAATACATATCTGTTTGTGGGGGGGTATGTGTACATGAGTGCAGGTGTCCACAGAGGCCAGAGGTGTTGGATCCCCCTAAAGCTGGAGTTATAGGTAGTTATGAGCTGCCTCACAGATGCTGGGAATTGAACCACTGGGTCCTCTGAAAGAGCAATGCACACCCTTAACTGTTGGGTCATCTCTCCAGCTCCCAAGTTTTGGTCCTTTAGACTCACCTTTTAAATTTAGGACTAATCCTCAGCCCATGTTGCTAATTTTTTATTGACTTAAAAATTTTTTATTGAATTTTTGTGTATTTCAGACAGAAAATCATCTTTATATCCC